ACTATTTTTTTCACTAATATGATTTGATTTGAACTGTACCGGTATAAACTAAATAGATCTAGCCAAAACTATTTAAACCTAATCTGGTTTAGGATATTACATTATCTATTTAGGTCTTAGGTTACGTGTGTTTTATTATCATACAATGCTACTTGGTCTTGTCTAATCTATAAATCTAGTTTGAGCTATTTAACTTTTGTCTTGTTTGGTGTGGTCTAACACCCTTGCATAAATACAAGTAAACAGGTTCTAATAGAGCGTTGAACAAAATGATTAGATTAACGGTATCAAATGGGGCCTGAAAACTGAACTTCAAAGAGCAATTTATGATGAAATATATTTCGGCTGCCGCCAATACTACACCCACCACCATACCACTGGCGCAAACAGCCATACCATTTTCGATTGATATATATCCCTACCACCACAAGCAATATTGTTGTTGCTACCGGTTGCCAGAATTCAGTCATCTAAGTCCGGCAGCATGATTGACATGAGACCTGACGACCACTCCACACTCCGGGAAGCACCTCAATCTTAGTAGAATGATAACTGGGTCATCTCTACTTAAGATATGTTTATGAAATAAATGTTCTGTTCATATACGGAGTATATGAACTAAACATGATGACATGATGTGCATAGTTTGATCGATATCTAGGCCCAAGTTCACATTGCGTCCGTATACTTAACCAACAGAAATATGTAAGAAAAGAGACATTCTATAGAGGTTCTCAAATTCCATATCAAAGGAGGTACTAGAGAAAATTTTAGAAATCTGCATTAAAGTTTGGGGTAAACTTCCCTCCCTAGCTATCAAACATAAACGCCTGAAGCGAGTAGTAAGAACAGTGACCCAAACCCCTGCAAAGAGGAAGTGAAAGTTGTTAGGAACATGAGCAGGGTAGTAGAACATGAAACTCCTTGCTAGCATCAAATGTTGAGGTCATACCAAGAATACAGAAGCCACAGCCCCAGTTGTGAGCTCTTTTGCAAGGCTGCGCTTTTTTGTTGAAGTTGTTGCCTCATAGCTGCATAAGAAAAATATATTATTGCAATACATTAATGGTTTGCAAAAAAAAAGAATAAATGACAAATAGTATGCACATAAATATAATTTTGTTTGACGCTCAAATATCTTGAGGTGACTCTGTTAATACTTCCTTTCTTCTTTTTCAGTTGCAACTTGCCACACTTCCATTTTCAGTTTGCCAACACAAAACTTTGACCATTACAACACATCCAAGCCTTAGTCCCAAAAATATGAAATTGGAGTATGACCATTAATATATTTAATTCACTATTAGTAAAAAAATAAAAAAATAAATAGATTTTGAAAATATAAAATGAGACGAGTTCAACAATCTTTTTCAAAAATTAAATTTCTAAAACATTAGTAAATAAAATGTCGTCAAAGTGGAGCATGCAAACATTGTAAAGTTCATCAGGTTGCGATTATTTAAGAACATGTGTACTATTTACGAAACACAAAATTTTGTTGTAACATACTCCCTCCGTATCACATATATCTTCCCACTTCCAAAGTGGGTGGGATTAAGAATAGTGAAAGGGGATATAAATTATTAAGGGTATGATGGGAAGATAGTGAAATAATGTGATGGAATGAAGGATAAATCCAAAAAAAGTAAGTGTAATAGTGATGGAATGATGGGAGATTTAGAAATGGGAAAGATATAAATGTTACATCCAAAAAAGGAAAGTGGGAAGATATGAATGTTACGGAGGGAGTAATATAGAGATTCTTGAAATAGCTACACAACTACACAGATGAAGAACTAGACTTTTTGGATTGCCTGAATGATGTACAGCCCGAAGTGCAAATGCCAAAACACAACATACAAACACATGAGACAGGAAAAAACATGTTTCACTGTGTTCCGCTTATATTACAGAATACAATAAGCTAGGGTGAAACTGTTACAGGCGGAACCGAGTAACCAACTACTGTGTACAAAGCTGCAGAAATGAAGAATAAGATTTCAAGAATGCCTGAACTGTCCAATGCTCAAAGTACAAGTGTTCAAACTCAAATAAAAGCAAACAAAACACGAAAAACGTGATTCTTCATGTTCCACTTTAGCAGCAAAACCCAATATTTCATACATAGTATTAGTCACCAAAAGCATGCTCATCATTTTTTATTTTTGCAGATAGTATTTTTGCAACATAAGAAAAATGAAAGATAGTGTTTGAGTTATACTACATCCACTCCATTTTTACTCTGAAGTTATGCAGTAATGTGGTGGTCAGTGATCGAAAAGAACTTTACAGAGGATCACTGATCCTTGTCAGATCACAAATCAGATAAGTTTTAAATTATGTGAAGAGAAACAGGATCAGATCAGTAACTGATAATCAAAATGGATTACATTCAGTTTTGCACAAGAACATTTAGTGTGTAGAGGACGAGAATGTTTGTAATTGAAATGCATCCTGGTCGGATGTGCTATAGATCCCTGAACAACATTGACCAACTGCAATCCCAGAAATAATACAACATTTTTAAAAATGTGAAAAAGCATTGAAACCTAAATTAGATTGTCAGAGTTACCAGTCAACCTTAACACTGAGCACTCTGATGCAATCAAACATGTGAAACAGATATACATAGCATTAAAAAATGCATCGCACATTGATGCCTTTGAAGGACGGAGATCGAAGGCTCACATGAAGAATGAAGCAGTGATGACGAGGCCAACGGAAAGCATGAAGAAGGCTAGAGTCGGATACATCGATACTGGCACTGGGCTCGAGATCGGCTTAGCTGATTCAGCCTTTTACAGGAGAAAAATGTAATAGAATCAGACATTCATCAACAAAGAAATAAAAACATAAAATTGAAAGAGAGAGAAAAGAAGCTTCGTATACCATTTTTTTCTTTTGAATCTAACACGGGCTATAGATTTCAATCCTGCGAGAAGACGACTGGTTCACTAGGAGGACTGGAGGACTATGTAGCTTTTGCTGAGCGATCGAGTGGGGGCACCAACCCTGAAAATGTGCGAATACATTTTTTGCTATACAGTTTTGCTCCTCGTTTTCTATTGTAATTACGGAGTACGCAAATACAAATATTAAAGTTTGAACCCGGACCCGACTCCAAATATGGAGCATGCCAACGTGCTCACTAGAAAGTACGTCCAGGTGATCAATGGTCTAGGTTCTCCTCAATTTTAAGATGAATTAATTCTTTTCAATTATTACACCAACGTGTTCCGTAGTGATAGGGGACTGTCTATTTACGATAGCCGTGAAATAAGAATTTAGCGAACTTAGCAACGTCTTCACCGATTATAGAACAAAATTGAGCGTGAAATCTCTTGAGACCTCATTTGCTTTCACGATTGGTTGAAGACACGACGTAGAGTTCAAGAAGTTTGCATCAACCTCGACCGCCACTTCATGGAAGAAACAACAACCGACGCTGACGGAGATTCCGATTGATTTTTAATAAATGTATTTAATGTTTGAAATTATTTTAAATTATCAATTGTACTTCATATTTCAATAAATATACATTGAATTTTTTTTGAGGCACTTGTGAATTAGTTTTAAAAAAATAATGTAGTCCAGCCTGACCCGAAGCCCGATCGGGTAGCCCGACCTGGTCCCGGTATATATTCGGGCCAGTATTGGGACTGTTATTATCAGACCCGGAGCCCGCCCAGTCCCGGCCCAGACCACTGGTCAACCACTAGAGAATAGTAATGAATATCCAAAAATAACCAAACAAACCTGTAATTCATCTTTAAACTATGTTGTAAGACCCGAACCGGTCCGGCAGGTCCGAACCGACTAAGAATCGAGCCGCAAATGTGCCCTAAACCGGATTTAACCGGCAACCCGGTATGGTCCCGGCCAGGACCAAACTCGGAAAACGTCCAAAAACCGGTAAAATTCGTTGGTCACAGGACTCGAACTCACGCCAACGCTGCTACATTTGTGGTTTCCCAACCAATGAGCTACTCTAGTTAATTGGAGATATCATTTGCTTAGCTTTTGTTATACCTTCCGCATGTGTAACACTTTAATTGCTTTAATTAATTATTTTGTTAATTAATTAATTTATAATAAAAGCTATAACAAACCATTGTATTTATATGCCTCCTCAATCCTCATTACGCAAGTCATCCTTATTTTTATTTTTATTTTTGATTGTGTTCACATTTATCATTAATCTATACACAAATTTATTTTAAATTTTGTTAAAATCAATATACTTTAATACAATAGTTGACATTACTTATATTGTATTATCAATATTAATTAAATTATGAAGGGATATAAGTTTATATTTATGAATTTATTTATATGTATAATTATATGTGTTCAGGTTGACCGGGTTTACCGGTCATTGACCCTCCGGGTTCAGGTTGACCCGTGACCCAGTTATTTGTCCGGGGTCACTCACCGGTCCGGTTCTTACAACATAGTCTTAAAATTGGGGAGAACCTAGACCATTTGTTACACTCAGTCCTCTCTATTTTCTAGCCTATTTTTATTTTCCTATTTCGTGTCTTCCAAATAAGCCCGTAAAAGCAAAAGTTTGAAACTTACTACGTAGTACGGTCGTACGGAGTAGGGATCGACTGGGTCCGGGCGGACCGACCCGGGACCAGTTTTTCGGTACCGATACCGGCCCGGTGGCCCGTTTCCCGGGCCGTGGTAGAAAAGGGTTGGGCTTCAGGCCAAACAGCTAGTTTTTTAAAAAAAAAAAAGGGTGGGTACCGACCCAGGACCAGTACAATTTGGACCCGGACTAGAACCAGTACCACACCAAACCAAGTCACTGCTCAGTACCGGGCTTCAATTATTTAGAACCACGACCGGCCAGGCTCGGGCCTGGGACCGACCAGGACTGACCTGGCTGACTGGCTCCATGCCTAGTACGGACTACGGAGTAGTATTTTTTTGAAGGCAAAAGATACACCATAGCAAAAGTTTGTTACTTACTACGTGGTACGGAGTAGTGTTTTTCGTGAGGCAAAAGAGATATAGCATGAGATGGAAAAAGTATAATGTTAACTGGGGAGCTCACTTGCAATTCTACCGCTTTACAGTTTACTATATGCAAGGGTTACACATTTATTGGAACTTCTAGTAATCCAACGAATAGCCATAATCTACTACATACAAAAAGTCAGGTTGGCATATAAGCCATCATGTACATTTCAAATGACGTAATCTACAACACCATGACATGGACGGGAGCTTCTATTCCAAAACTGTATTCCGTCTGATATCACAACCATTAAATTGCCATAACTTATATACTATGTATCTATTAGTAACATATTCTACTTCACACTTCACTCTGGCTAGCTAATTGATCAGAACAATCTAACCATTGGAATAACAGATGGAATACTGTTTTGGAATAGAAGATCTCATCTCACCTCAAGGACTCCATTGGAAAATCTGAAGTGGTGCCCAACAAAAATCATTAATTTACACACGAAAAAATGGCCGACGTGAATAGCTTCTGCAACTGCAAAGCCTTTTCCCTCTGTAACCCACCCCCCCCCCAAAAAAAAAAGGTCAAATCAGTTAGATGCAGGCCATAACATGAACATGAACCCGTGTTCACTCACACTTCCACCAGATAATCGTCTCATATTCCTCCATAATCTTCGGGCCCTACCCGTTCTCAGGTCACCCGATCCAGAGTGAATCTCATACCTCATGGATGGACTTAACAGATCGGACATGGAATGTCCCCGCTCAAGATCTACCTCACAATCGGAGTTAGATCGAGGGGAGTGAGCAGGTAAATGATGCAATGATCCATGATCTTCCACGACATTAGCCTCTAAATTCTCTTGATCACAATTTTGAGATTCCAAATCTTTCGTCTCGTTGCACACTAACTTCAAAGCCTGAACAACCTCACCCATGAACGGTCTATTGGATACCTCGGGTTGCACACACATAGAAGCAATGGCGGCCACTTTAGTGATGCTATGGAAAGGGAAATCGGGTCCCAAGGACGCGTCCACAATGAGTTCCAGACCTTCTTTAGTCGTGAGGAAGGGTCTCGCCCAAGATACTAAATTCTCTTGACCAGGCGGAAGTGACATGTCCACTGGTTTTCTTCCTGTTAGGAGCTCAAGAAGGACAACACCATAGCTGTATACATCACTCTTCACTAAAAGATGCCCAGTCATTGCATACTCAGGAGCGACATACCTGCATAAGATCAACGCCAGAAGTTCATACTGCAGGATAAACTTAGGAATACGGTGAAAAGTTTATTCCGCATTCAGCCAACGAATAAATTGTTCACCCCAGGACCAGCAAGGATCATGGATTTGCTAACTTTTTTGTCTCAAAGATGCAAATTCATCATGGCCCAACACCACTACAAAGTTTATTACGTTAGATCCAAAACTAACGTAATTTATTATTTCAAATTTAACCGATGTGAAACAAACTCTTCAACAAATAAATGCAAGAGAGTATAAAGAAGGCCTCTCCTGGGAAGGACGAATGTGCTTAGAATGAGGTTGTGGATTAACTTAACTTTGAAAGAACTCTTAATAGGTGATAACTTTACAGACGCCCAATACTCTTCAACCTAATGGACAACCAATTATGTCAACCTATATGTAGTAGAATTGTCTACCACAACTTGATTTCATTACATTGTGTCTCACCAAACATTGCCTATTTCTAAAAAATCGTCTAGACGTAAGCTACTTCAAGCCCTATATTAATGGACATGCTTATTGTGAAACAAAAGGCAATTATCAGCTGGACAAACAAATCATACCCAAAGGTTCCCATGACACGAGTTGAAACGTGTCTGTTTTCTTCATCAAATGCAGCGCGGGCCAGACCAAAATCTGACACTTTGGGAGTAAAGTCATGTTCTAGTAGGATGTTGCTAGACTTGAAGTCTCTGTGTATGACACGTGGACTGGAATCTTCATGCAAATATGCCAGCCCTCGAGCAGCACCAAGTGCTATCTTCACTCGAGCATTCCAATCGAGTGGAGCGCTTTCTTTATCAATTCCTAAAAACAAAATAAAAAATGGCAATGTTATTACAGTGCCTAAAAAACTAACTTCAAGTTTTAATGCCATAGAATGTCTAAAGATTCTAGGGTTAATTAAGTATAGGTTTTATCCTAAAAGATGGAACATGATAAAAGTGTAGGTCCACACTCTTATATGTGAGTTGCTATTTTTCACAAATGACACTCTTATGGCCGAAATATTATTGAATGTAATCCTACTAGCAAGAGTGGGATGGGCCGCTGGGGTGGGGGATATTCAGGAAAATCAGGACAAAGGCTAAGAGTGATTTCTTTTGAAAACGCATAATTCCTACTAAAACATCATCATCATCATCAATACCCCCCCCCCCCAGTGCCGCACAGGCTCCCACCTACGGTGGGGTAAGAGGGTCCGATGTACGCAGCCATACCCATGTACTAAAGTACGGAGAGATTGTTTCAGGATGACCCAAAGTGAAAATCGAACCGAAAATTGCATGGACTGACTGGCTGTTGCTTCATAACAAAGAAGCACAGACAGTTTAGTGAGCCATTTTGCTTTATTCCATCATATTCCCAAGCCAAAAATAGTGAGTCTTTGGCTCCATTGCAAATGATGGAAAATGACTCGCAAAAGAACTAAGGTAATTAAATAAAGCTTGGTTTTATTATTTTGCAGTTATTTCCCATGAAGTAGACATTTAACTAATTTAAGTAAATGGAGGAGTAAAAGTAAGGGCAATTTGACACTTTATTCATCTATGGGTGCCATTTACGGACTATTTGACTAGTCAGGGCGCATTTGTAGTTTTCAGTAACCCTTAAGAATTTTTGGTCATCCCCAAAATAACAAGGGAGCTAAATATGATGTGCTGAAATGAGAATGATCATACACAATACCATGAAGGTGAGACTCGACACTGCCATTTGGAACAAGTTCATAAACCAAGCAACGTGCACGCTCCTCTAGGCAGATGCCAATCAACTGAACCACATTTCTATGGTGTAGTCGACTAAGCATCTCAACTTCTGCCAGGAACTCACGACCTCCCTGATGGTCATCCCTCTTAAGAACCTTGACTGCTACTTTTGTTCCATCTTGAAGCGCACCACCGAAAACACGCCCAAATCCACCTTCTCCAACTACTCTTGTTTCGTTGAAGTTATCAGTTACTCTCTCGATTTCGGACAAACTGAACGTTTTTGCTGAACCGGTATAAGCTGCAAAGCTTAAACTGAAGGATAACGAAGGAGAGTTGGGCCGACTGCCTATAACAGAGGCTGCATTCCCTAAAAGAACATTTGCAGTTAGTTTTATATGCAACAGTTTCATGAGCCTTAGCAAAGTTAAAACGATGGGAGGATGGTGGCATTTCTTAATTAACTGCAAGCATCAAGTTCATAATTTAGAGTGACAAAAAACATAATATCATACACCAAATATGAAATGTAATCAATCGTAAGCTCAACTTATGTGTCTGACAATATCAGGACAAAAAGTATTTGACTAGTGAGGCTTGTGGCATTTCATGACAAAGGCTTCGTTTGTTTCAAGGATAATACCTTGCTATCACAAAAGTTTTTGGAGGTGAATACATTGATATTTTCCATGAAAATGTTACCCTAAAAATTATATTCATGTTTAATATTGCCTCTACTATTTTCTGGTTGTCCATACATTACCTTATAATTTTTTTACGAAAATAATTGTGTGTTCATGTTGATTCTTTAAAATGTTACTTTAACTCCATGTACGCTCAAATAAGAAATGTAAAATAGGGGTAGAGGGATTACAATGTTTGACAATAACAATAAAAGAAGGGCAGCCCGGCGTCACCACAAGGCGAGGGTCCGGGGAAGGGTCCCACCACAAGGAAGTATAAGGGGCAAGCCTTCCCTTGTCACTTTGACAAGAGGCCGCTCCCAAGAATTGCACCTGTGAGCTCTCAATCACACGGCAACACCTTAACCGGTAAGCCAGGTCTCCCTTTCTTTGACAATAACAACAGAAAACATAAAAATTCTTTAGTAAAAAGATTTTCTGTTTTGACAAAAGAAAACATCTGAAGGAAAAAATCAGTGGCAAACACAAGAAAGCCTTTCTAGGAAATTGTTTCAAAAATAAGAAATCATAATTAAAAAATATTTTCTTGTAAACAAATGGAGCCTTATGCCACAGTCAAGTTTCTGAAGTTGTCTTGTGACACTAAGCTCAAGGTAAATACCTGTTGATTTTGGAAGAGAAAGAACTGTAGCTGGAGGGGTAGGTTCAGATCGTAAAACCCTATCTCTATGCTTGAATAGTAGCATCCATGCAACAACACAGCACAATACAAGTGCAGCACATGCTGACAACACTATCACTCCAATAAGGCTCCGATTAGAGCTGCCTCTGTGTCGTTTTCTACTCACATCAACACCAAGAGGATGTATAGTCCTCCCATTGTCCCCTGAGTATGGGTCACTACCTATAATTCCAACATTTGAAGGCGCAGAGGGTGGAGAAGGAGGCAGACCTAAGCATGGAGAAGAGTTTACAATTATAAATGTTGATCCATGTTGACTATACCCCATCAGCAAAATATAAAACAAAGTTTTACAAATAAGCTTTTAGGCTACACCTACTACAAGACTCTTCTTAGATGCTATGACAAGTTTTAATATGACATTACAACTTGGTCCTACAGTAGTTTGTTCCTTTTTTGGGTGCCCACCAACTCCTGGTTTGGGGTATCCTGTTTTGGGTCAGGTTGAGCCCATTTGTCTTTCTTCCAATTCTCTCAAACCCAATTTGGGCTAAGGGATTGAAGGGGTGTGTTGATCATCCAACATAAAAAACATATAAGATGCAAACAAAAATATAAGCGTTGAAGTTTATTCACAAACCTGGATACCGCACATACAATACATCATAATCACCAAAAAATGAGGCATTTATGAAGATATTTTTGTGCCAGAAATTCTGAAATGTCAAGAAAGCCGTTGTGTTATCAAACTGTCCTCCCAGGGGTACCAAATCGATGAAGACAACAGTCTTTTCTGGATAATGAATATCAGCATTAGCTCCCATTATGCGAACTTGACTAGGATCCATAAACACTCCAGAGGCAATTTCATAAGCCAACTTCGAAACTAAAGGGAAGAAAGTGTATAATGCTACACTAAGTGACAGTCCAATTTGCATCGGTAAGGCACACACACAAGAAGATTTAGGTGGAGGAGCAGTGAACGGTTCCATGCATATCAATAATGAACAATCTACAAAATAAAAAAATTGTGCATTGGACATTGTAAGTGAACCAATAAGGCAGTAACACTGACATAAATGGGTAAGTAAATAAAAACATAAAAAATAAATCAATAATAAATACCTTCGTTAGGTGGTGGGGGTGGAAAGACAAATGGATGTGGGAACAACATCTTTGGATTTGTTGCTGAAGACCAAGCTGGGGATATTTTATTGTAAGGAAGAGGCCCTTGAAATAACAAAGATGATATAAAAATAAGCATCAACACATTTCTACTCATAAATTAATAATGGAACAGAGTAATACCTGAACTTAATGGTGGGTGAGCAATATGATGTCTAAGGGTAGACTTTGGATCTGAGTTTGAGTGAAATGAATTCATAGGAGGAATTAAAGGACCTAGAAAGATCAATGCAGGTTAGTATAACATATGGTTAAGAATAATAAGTGTTAGGCTTAACCCAAGACTTCTCAAAAGAAAAAGATTTTCCAATAAGTATGAGGTTCATTTATTCATGTATAGTCGATGTGGCTTTAACACATACTATCAAACACACTAAGTTTTAATACAGACCTTGTGTAATTGAAGAAGGTGGAGGAACTGAATGTGATGATGGTGCAACAGTGACATTCTCCTTTACGAGAGAGTGCCTCGAGATTTTGTGAGTAGATGGAGCTAGGACACGATGAAAAATACTCAAGCCGACAACATTGATAAAAATAGTTTATCACCATCAAATGTATTCTATTCACGAGGAAATAGACAAGTTTGTAACTCACCTTTTGATGGGGATGCATGTGTATTCATGTCATGATTAGACATTCTATAAGGGGGAGCCGCTATAGGCGCAGCTACTCTTTCTCCGTTGATGCTTGGTAGAGGAGTTGATGCATCATGCATAACTGCATAAGAATTAGTACTTTTTGACATTAAGAGATGCTATTCTCATTCTTCTTTAACCGCTTGACTTTTATGTTTGCACTTTGATCATTAGTATATTAGTACAAATTATAAAAAGTTGATATTTTGAGAATATGAATTGAGAAATTAAAGATTAATCCCTCCTTACCAAATTGATTAGTAAAGTCTACTTTTCTTGGTGAACAAGGTTTGGTTTTATTTATTTATTTAGTTAGGATGTCAATTTTTTATTATATTTTTGTTTGAATTTTGCGACTTTGTAGAGCTTTCAGTGTAGTTTCTGAGTATATAAATTTTAATTAGTAAAACGGATTTAATTATTTGCAGGGAAGATTTAACTTTATCACCATACAACCTTAAGAGCCGCGAATTGCAAATCAATTTGGAATGGATGAAGTATTACATATTAGAACTTGTATTGATTCATTAATAAAACTATAGTTAAAGTAGAGTATGTGGTAGTGCAACAGTCAATGTCTTGCACTTAAAAAAGAATGGAAGTAGTATGTACTATATTGAGTATACAATTGCAGTAAATTTGTGAACAAAATGGAAATCCATTTAGCTTATCGTTTTTTTTAAATATAATACAAGAAATGTTTGGTTCCAATATAAGAAACACCCCATCACTCATGGGAAAATAATATGTCGTTGTAAAGATTAAGAGGTGCGGATGACCGATATCTTGTCAAAAAAATCATATGATAACAATGATCGAATGAACTCCGCCATGAGATTATTTTTTGGTATCATGCCCGTCCCAAGCCATGATAAAGGAGGAGGGTGTTGTGGTAGGCATGTGACGGCTAACAATATCACTTAGTCACATCACATGACATGAATCGAAATATCTGAAAGGTAAATTTTATAGAACAGCCATTAGGCCTACATTAATGTATGGTGTAGAGTGTTGGGCGGTGAAACAATGTCACGTTCAAATGATGAGTGTGACAAAGATGCGTATGTTGCGTTGGATGTGTGGACATACCAAAAAAGACCGCTTGAGGAATGAGATAATCAGACAAAAGGTGGGAGTAGCACCTATAGAAGATAACTGGACAAAAGGTGGGAGTAGCACCTATACTGAAGGGTTAAGTGAGGGATAGGACGGTGTATTTTTTTGTTTTCTGAGGTGTTCAATTGAACTTGTCCCTACAGTATACATTTACCAAGAGTGAATACAAAAAGATGTAGAATTGGAATATGACTACAGTGAAAACGATTAAACTACTTCAACAACCTGGAGCAATGGGCATAGAGCGAGGAGCGTTAGTTATTCTGTTTTCACGAGTACTTGGTGGTGTAGACCCTTCCATAACTGGCGGCATAGCTGATGGATATCTTCTTAAAGGTTCCTGAGCTGGTACTGCACGTCAGAACATGAACTAATTCAAGTTGTGGCCCACCGGTCAATTTTAGAACACACTTATTGGTGTCTTAACTTGTTAAGACTCCCATATCTAAATATTAGAAATATAAATATGAGTTTAAAGGGCATTGGGTTAGATTAGCTAAATATTGGATTCAATCTCACATTGGAAAGCTAAAGAAAGAATAAATGGTTAAAGCTTATGTTGAACTAGCTAACATGTTGGATTGAATCTTTTGTCATGGTTTGGTTCAAGTGTTTTAAAACCCAATATTATTACAGTGAAAATGATTAAACTACTTCAACTACCTGGACCAAAAGGCATAGAGTGAGGAGTGTAAGTCGTTCTGTTGTCATGAGGACTTGGTGGTATAGACCCTTTCACAATTGGTGGCATAGCTGGTAGAGATCTTCTTAAAGGTTCCTCAGCAGGTACTGCAGGTCAGAACAAAAACCGCTTTAACTTGTGGCCCGCCAGGTCAATTTTAGAACACTTTTATCAAAGTCTTAACTTGTTAAGAGCCCCACATTTAAATATTAGAAATATACATATGAGATTGTAAGGCATTGGTTTAGGTATTGGTTTAGGCATTGCTAAATATTGGATTCAATTTCACATTGGAAAGCTAAAGAAAGAATGGTTGATTAGACCATTTAGACCTTGGGTTGAACTAGCTAACATATTGGGTTCAATCTATATTGTGGTTTGGTTCAAGTTTTCCGTAACGCAATTGAGGAATCTCAATCCGATTCTGAATTCTATAAAAACCCATATGTTGTATTACAGGTTAGTTGAGTGATCAGTAATCCAACTCAATTATGAATTTTATCACACTATCTATCTATCTATCTATCTATCTATCTATCTATCTATCGAGTATGTGATTCATTAGCCATATCGTCCGTCTAAATGTCTATGGATTAGGCTCAATCATTCTAGTGTGGTTTGACTCATGTGCATTATGATCCTGTTCAGTGACCCCAACATAATTTTAGGTTCTATCACAACTTAAAGAAGCACAACTCAGATACAAAACAAAAAACTAATTACTGGGAGGGATTGAAACAGGAGCGGGATTGTATGGTATTCTATTTCCATTTGGATTTGGTGGAAGGGATCCCGTCACAACTGGCTGCAAAGTTGGTGGACTTAGAGGTTCCCTTAAAGGTGGCTCTGCGGTTGCTGCAACTTAAAAACAAATAACATATCAATAAGCTGCCCAGGTGGGGACACTGTTGTCATATTCCCTTGAAGTTGATTCAATTACCTGGAGCAATCGGCACGGTTATGGGGGTGTCAAGTGGTCTATGCTGATTAGAAATTGGTAGTGGTGACGATACTATACCGACTGGCTGCCTAATTGGTGGAATTACTGACGGTGGCTCAACTGGTTCTGCAACTCATTTAAAAAACAAATCACCTAAAGAGATTTATCATCCCATAGTGTAATGACCCATGAATACAAGATTTACCTATAGGGGCTGGCATCGGAAGGGAAATCTCTGGTGATTCCTTTTCACCAGGTCTTGGTGGCACCGATCCTATCACAACTGGTGGCATAGTTGGTGGCAAATCCCTTACAGTGGGCTCCACAGGTGCTGCAACTCATGCAAATAAAAAAACAAATTTGTTCTGTAATTGGTTTAACTCCGCCATGAGATCATTTTTGGGTATCATGCCTGTCCCAAGCCAGGATAGAGGGTGTTGTGGTAAGCGCGTGACGGCCAACAGTATAACTTAGTCACATCACGTGACATGAATCGAAATATGAATACAAAATCTTTTGGGAATAAGGCTTGGATGTTGTTGTTTGTTGGTTGTGTAATTGGTTTGTTTTGTAGTAACTTCCTTGCAGCTGGCAATGCACCTTAAAGTGTGTAGAGGTTGTATGGAGTATAGGTTGTTGTATTTGATTGATGAAAGTGTTGTAGATAAAGACTCCAATAGACTGTTGTAGATAATCATTTCAATAGAGAGAACATTACTTATCCTAGATAAAATGTAAACTAATAATTAATAATTTCTTTTCCCATTACAAAAAAAGCAATTACCTGGAGCAATTGGTATAGGAAGAGGGGTGTCAGGGGTTCCACTTCCATGGCGATTTGGTGGCACATTTGGCTGCATAGCTGGTGCGCTTGGTGGTGATTTCTTTAAAGGAAACCCATCTTCTACTGCAACTCAGATGATAACCAAAGACTTAGAGTAATCAAAAGAGTCATATGGCATATAGCTTAAACCACACTAAAATATAGGGGTAAGGTTGTGTACATCTAGCCCCCCTTACCCGCTATGATACCAAGATATATTTCAGAATTGAATTGAGGTTTCAACTAATCCATAAAACACTTGGATCATACCACACTAGAAGATTTGAACTAATCTCTAGCTAGGTTGCCAGGGTGTTTAATTTTCCAGCGTGGGCGTCTAATTGATACCCCCACCCCCCACCCCCCACCCCCAACAAAGGAAGTACTAAATCAGCATTAGAAACAAGGCTCATTTCTTAGGGATGGGGGAGTAATTAACTATTAATATTCACCAATAACCTCAATTCTATTAGTTCATACCTGGAGATTCTGGTGCCACCACAGGATAATTGATGCGTGGCGGCATACTCTGAGGACCACTGAGTGGTGAGACTTGGACGAGGCCATTAGAGTTCATTGGAGGAGGAGATGGGACAATGTCTTGTCTAGTCATCGGCTGAGGACTGATATCATTAGGTGGAACTATTGTAGGACCACTTGGTTGCACAGACATGGCGGAACCTCTCATTGTTTGAGGTGAAATGTCTGTCTTGAAAGGCAGCAAAGCAGACAGAGGAGGGTTCACACTTTTTCCTGATTGAAGCAAAATCAAAAGTATGGTTGGATCCTGGAAAGTGATGGATAAAGGAAAACAGATGCTAAATTGCTAAGCAATTGATTTCTTCTATCTTGGAAAATACAAATAAAAACGAAATAAGATTTTTCTACATATATTTAGATTTTAGAGTCTCTATATAATAGAGACAAAATGAGTTTGAACAAATATCTAAAATAATTTGATAAAACTTAAGCTCATCTTTTATTTTCTCCAAAAAAAATCCTTCAGATTTTCTTCTGTACTAACTTTCCCTGGTTATTTCTGAGTTCCAAACAGACCCTTAAACTATCATTGTTGTTATAAGTGACTTCCTCCTAAAAACGCCACTTTTAAACAAAAGAAAATCCAAGCATGCCCTTAGTATTACAGAACGAAAAGCCCAACCATTTGGTGAAGACGAAGTAGTAGGTGAGACTGTTTCAGAAGGCGCTCCATTAGATATAGCAGGAATTGCAGCCGAAGAGGGGGGTAAACTGTGACCTGACAAAAAGATCGAAAAAATGAACTATAAACCAAACATAACATCCTAATATCAATGATAAACAATTACGCTAAATAATGGATCTTTAAGGCTGATGATCACACTTGAAAAAAATTCTGATATCGTTCAATGAATGACCAGATCCAGTGCAAATGAGAGTGGCACTAGCCAACCTTTTATTTTGAATATAATATCTATAGCCACATCTACCAACTAGGCATAAAAGAAATTCATATACAACTATTCTTATTGCGAGGAAAAGGTAATTTATTGATAGAATAAATCAGAGTTACAATCATGTTTCAGCAAATCGTTTATCTCGTGTGGTGACTCAAGTCGTAAAACAGCCGTTGTGCCATGTCTCTTTAAGATCATATACAACTATTCATTCATAAAAAGCATTCAAGCAATTAAGTCTTTATACTTGAGCAAAAATGAAACGTACAAGGTTTCACAAACATCAGAGAGTTAAATTTGACAGTATCACCACAAAATCCATAGAAAGAATTGGAGGCAATAAAAATGCATATTCAGATTGACTAAATACCACAAAAAATGCATGGGATAAAATTATCTTAAGAGTTTATTAAAAACCCAGATTGCCAGATTCATAACAGTATACTACTGTACCAATATATGAAGAACATCAATTAAAATTAGAGCAAGAAAATAAGAAGTTATACCTGAAGAAGCAAGAAGCAGGGAAGAAGAAGCAATGGCAAAGATTTTCAGCAGAAAGGAGAGAGGTCGAAGCATCCCCCACATGCCCATCCCATACGAACCAAATCTAAAGGAAACCCACACCTAACTTTATGAATTCTTTAACAGAAAGAAAAGCAAAAACCAAAAACTGATTACTTGGAAGCAATCAAGAAGAAAAGGAGGGGGATAAATATTGAGAGGCAAACAATGGACTGTCAGTTCTTAGTAAGAAGAAAAAAAATCCCAAACTGAAAAGGGGGGGTTTGGTGACATGAGAAGAATAAAAGCAAAGCAAATCAAAGCAAGCAGTGGTTTCTGAAACAGTGAGCATGACAACAAAGACAGTAAGATGCGTTTTTCGCAGATTTACGTTTCTATTGTCATTTGAGCAATTAAAGAGCGCTTTTTTCCTCTCTCTCTAATAAAACTGACGCAACTTAGTTAATTAACAACAGCTAAATGACACAAGAGAACAAACATTTCTTTAATAAGTGGATTAACACCCCTTTTTTTAAATATGTCTGACATTCAAAGAAAATAGAGTTACAATGTGCATTAATATCACATTTATAAAATTTCTCTTTTTAGAGTTCAAATCGTTAGGTACATGAATCATCAATATCTCTAGTCTTGAAATCAAACTATTGATACTTACATTCATACCGATATCATTAAAAATTTGGAGATATTTTCAAAAGGAAAAAGGATCAAATAAGCATTTCTACTATTTTCAATTCATCACTTAATCCCATGTAATAAAAAAGTATTATATAAGTACGTCTACTTTACAAAATTGAACAATTTGACCATTTAATCAGTTTTTGACCTATAATAACGCTTCATTAATATTTAAAAACTCTAAAAATTTGTTAAAGTTTGAAGAAATATATACAAAAATTGTGAAAATTTTCATTATATCAAAGTCAATGTTTTTTAACTTTTAAAAATATTTGTATATTCTACACCTAATTAAAAAAAATCATTTTTTTTGTTTTACTTTATTTTTCCAGTTTTAAGATTTTTTATTTTTTATTTTAATGTTTTTGAAATTTTAAAATATATTTTTACATTTATATCATTTTTTACATTATAATTAGATTATTTATTCAAATTTATATGAATTTTTGTAATATTTATCAGGTCAAATGGCTTGGTTCTTATGTGGTTCTTTTTTAGTACAGGAACTTAAGTGACAGATTAGAGATAGTACAAGGGCTTATTTGACCCTTTTTCCTTTTCAAAGATATTACTAAAATAAATCTTATTTACACAAATATGACTAATCTCATGTTTAGCGACTTCGAGTTTGAAGCACGCTTAACACTTAACAAATATGACTAATAGTTACTACAATATAGTGTCATGGTAATTTAAATTTAAAAATGAATATAAGTTACTATAATTTCATTACTACTCTAGTCACTAGTCACATTTTTGTAAACAATCTTTGTTTTAATCATAAATATTTAATTATTTCTTAAATTTGTTACCATCTTTGACATTTCATTGTTTTTTATTATTATTTAGCTCGTGTGCATGTAGTCACATTAGCTAAGTAAGGAAATTGAAGTGACAAGATAACAAATTCATCCTTATCTATGTCCAATTGCATGACTATATCCTAAAAACTTATACTCCTTCAATCGTGGTCCCATAAAATTCTTTCCGATTTAACTAGTGTCAAAGTTTAAGAAAATGAAAATAAATAGAAATTTATGGTTACGATTAAATATGAAAAAAAGTAAAAGAGTGTTAGTCACACAATACTTTTCAAAAGAAAAAATGGAACAAAAAATTACACGTCCAAAAATGATAAGTGAGAAAAATTTTAAAAATGGAGAAGGGACTACGTAGTAGTAGTAAAGGCTGAAGGAACAAGTATATTCTTAAAGTTTAAGTCTGAGATTTCAACTTCATTTAGAAATAATTAAAAACAAATTCTTTAAATTAGAAACAAATATACTCTTGAATCGTGCACAATATATATTAGAATATATGTACGGTGTGTTTCTAATATGAATAATGTTTAACGTGAGAACACACGCATTTAACTGAATGTGATGCACAATGAGGTTGTCTTGTGGGTGGTGCACTTTTTAACTTTGCTCAAACCAAGTTAATACTACGTAATAAATAGTTGCAGTGACATTTTGTTAAATATTATACATTTATACTTAAGGTGAAAAAGTTTAACGTGTGAGCTTCATTATGCATCATATTGAGGTAAATGTGGGTATTCTCGTGTTCTCACGTTTCATATTATTCTCATTTGATCCTGAATATAATATATATAGGGTTGAATCATATACAAACAGTGCTTATAGTACAAATATTGAGGTAAATGTGTATTGCATATTAACGTTCAAAGTGTTGCATATATTATGCAATGAAATAAGCAGTTTCATATTAACTTTCAAAGTGCTACATTCGAAAAAAGTTTGATTTTATTACCAAAATGTCATTGTGCGTTTGTAGCTTTTAGATCAACTCATTGTGCAACTGTATACTTTTTGCTATAAACACTTGCATATTATTTAGCCATCGTGCCTTGTGACTAAAATTAATCTAATCCATCCATTTTCAAGTGATTAAAGGTCAAGATTTGTTCTCACTTTTCATGGGATCACTACTTTGTATTTGAACTCACTCCTACATATATAGAGAGCGGTTCTGGTGAGAAAGGACTCTCAGTAGAGAAATGAGAATAAATATAGACCGTTTGATTGTATTTTGTGAAACTGTCTTGTGCATTTGGTGAAACTGAAATGCGCATTGGATGACATTGAAATGTGCATTTGGTGGGAAAGGACTCCCAATGCTCTGTGGTTGCTCCTTTTTGGGGAATAAAAAAACAGTAGTATTAATACTACCCTCACAAGATTGCTCCTTTTGAAAAATATCCACACAAAAGTCAACAATTGCTACTAAAAATGCTGTAAAAAAAACTGGATTCAACCCATATGACCCTGAGGCTTTATCCGGTTGCATACTAAAGCAGCTAATTTCACCTCCTCGATCTTGATATCTCTTAATAGTCGTCCATTTTGAGTATCAGTAATTCTGCCCCTAAGTTTCCCACCTCTAGGGCTCCCACATCTACACTAGACGTGAATAATAGCTTATAATAATTTTGGACCAGACTATTTAGTTCGGCTTTATTCGTCACTCATACCTCCGAGTCCACTCAGTTAAGACGTCTCATGTGTGTTAACATAGTTATAGAAATACGTGGAATTATTATCCCTATGTTGAAGCCATAACTCCTTTGCCCTTTACTTATAGAAATCATTTTGTTTTTCCAGCAACAATAAATAAAACTCCTTTAATTGAGGGAAGACCGCCACACTCTCCACATATGTCATGTGTCAAGTCCTCTCCATCTGCCTTTTACATCCCTTGATACGGTGTTGAAATCCCCGCCTCAAATGATCCCCCACCTACCCAGCGCTGTCCCACAAAATTGCAGCCTCTATGGAAGTTCCTGACCCCAATAATTAGGCCACGTTTACTCAATCATGTTTCTACAGGATATACTACATACTATCATCTGTATCGTATAAGTAGCAACATTGAAAATTATACACTATTCATGTACTCTACTTTGACTACATTTTATTCAGTAATGGATGTGTATTGTTGTCTGTTGTTTTTTGAAAAATTTTGTTAAATTTGTGCCATTACAAAGTTTCATAATAATCTAATTTAAAAAAAAAATACACGTAGAAAATTAAATATAATGACGATCAATGTTGTGCATTGCAAAACGTGAAAAAGGAAATGATGCAGCTAAAAAGAACGGAGGAAGTATTTGTTACTCCGTATAATTTACTCGGTAGTAGTTTATGCTTGATTTGTGTCTTATGTGCCTAGGCATTAAAATTTGTCTAGTACTCTAGTATGCGTTTTACCTGACAAATATACCCTTCTAATTTCAACTTCCATTGAATTCTTCCCTTGTGTCTATTAAGGTATCCATCAATTAGTTACAATTGTTAAGTTATTACATAACATCTTCAGCTAATAACTTCTCATTATATGTTTTATTGAAAAACATATGCTCTGCCCAGCCTGAAACAAAGCTAATTAAATTTTAATCATACGTTTTTATCAGAAGCTATTTTTATTATTTAAGGAAATTTTTAAAATTGTTTATTAATATAGATGTAATTACATACTTGACTAAAATATCAAAAATGTGACCTTGATCGATCTTATGTATATTGACTATGGTAGTAACTCAATTATAGTAACTTATGCTCAACCTTTGCACTTAAGTGGCCGTGACACTATATTATAAGAACTATTAGTCGTATGTTTATAAAATGTAATTGCCTTATAGGATTAAAACATGGTTAAAATTCCAAAACAGGACTTCATGATTTATATTGCCTAAATAGGACTAAACATTACCATTATACCCTTTATAATTAAATCCCTAATCCTTTGCTCATTAAAGCCTGGTATTCCTCTGTCATCGATCGTAGCTCAAGTCCATCATCGAATCTCAAGTGCGCACCAGAGCATCCCTTCATCGCCTCCCTTCGCAGCCATCCTTTGCCGCCGGTATTGCATCTGTTGTCACTGTCTGACTTCGCTGATTCTGACCGCCAAGTGAATAGTATGTAATAGGTTCATATCTCCTCCTCTTCTTCTTCCTCCTCCTCCTCTTCTTCCTCCTCCTCCTCTTCTTCCTCCTCCTCCTCCTCCTCTTCTTATGCTTCTTCTTCTTCTTCTTCTTCTTCTTCTTCTTCTTCTTCTTCTTCTTCTTCTTCTTCTCCTCCTCCTCCTCCTCTTCTTCCTTTTCTCATCTTCTTCCAAATCCTATGTATTTTTTCAATTTTTCTGGTGATCAAATATATTTGGATTTGAATTTTAATTTATTTAGCAATTTTGAACCTCAGAATGCAGATTCCCAGAAAAAGCCACTTATTCAATCTGAGAATGTCAAACTTATTTGTAATTTGAAGAAAATGCCACTTTTATAGCAATATGCTTATAAAGATGGCAATCTCAGTTCAACATAAAATGACATTTTCGTATAAAAGATGACATTTTCTACTATAAAAAGATGACATTTTCTACTATAAAAAGATGACATTTTCACATTGATAGTTGTGGCATTTTCATAGAAAATTATGTAATCATCCTATAACAAATGACATCTTTATATGTTTAATATCATAAAACTGATCTCATTTGACAAACAAGCCAAAAATAATATTGCCATATTTATAAATATAATGTCATAAAAGTGGCATTCTTTTTAATAACAGGCATTCTCGGATTAAGAAAGTGACATTTTCAAATACATATTAGTTATGATATACTCATATTTGAAATTAATCATTTCTTTCACTGGTTGCTTCATAGAAATTTGACTCTTCATCTCAA